CCTTGGCCACCACTAAAAATAAATGGAATTAGTCAGTCTAAGAGTAGGGCAAAGAATCCAACTGAGGCTTACCAATGGCGTAGTACATTTGCGGCGTGTGTGCCGGGTTGACAGCACCCACTAGTATATAGTAATTGCCTCTGACCACATGGAAATCCATAAAATGCAAATCCACCTCAACATTATCGTTGGGCACACGCACATTCCAAAACTTGAATAGCAGCATATCACGTATTTTCCGCAACAGCTCCACATCCTCGTATATCAGCTGCTCCGTGTTGCCCTTGTTGGATAGACGCCAGCGCTGGAGTGCTCGATCTGAGAGCACCGCTACGACAGATTCGCCGTTCTTTGTGTCGCTTTCAGAGCACATGCCTACCAATAACTATAGACGACGGTTACAGTTAGCTATTAGAAATTAGCAGTATGAAGGAGCGCTCACCTGATCCCTATCGCTTCCGCTGTTCATGCCAATCAGCATGGAAGCGAATCTTTTGCCAAAGCCGCCCAGAAAACTCGTCGCTGGCTTGATAGTTTTGTGGTGCAGTGTATAACGGCCGCTGGTGAGGCCTACGCGGAGGAACACTAAAGTGCAGGTGGAGGTTATAGCCAGGTAGCCCTGTTGTGTGGGTAGATTGAGCAGTTGCACAAACTCCTGGCCGGTAAGAATGGATATATCCACGGAATTGTTATCGTGTGCTATAGACGCCCAATAGCGAACCTCGCCTGTCGCCGAGATTGCAATGCAGGAGGCCATCTGCTGACCCTCTGTCTGAAACACGCTAACCAATTCGCTCTTGTGCCCAATATCGCTGTATGGTAGAGTCAGTTCGCGGCACTGGGCCGAGGTGCCTGCACGTCTTAATTGTTTGCCAAGTCGCGGTGGCGAGCCTGTCTTAACACCACCAGACGAATCCTTATACTGCCAAATCAATAGACGACGACCCTGCACAATCTGCAATTAATTATGGATAAATTATTAGACAGAAAGTGCATATATATAAAGAACACTGTGTTGCTAATTACCCACGCCCAGCCACTTTGTGTTATTTTCGCTGAAACTGTGCTCGCACCTGGTCCGGCAAAGGTAAGAGCCTCGTTTACGGCCACGGGCAGCGCATGGCCGTAGCTTTCCACGACATTGTAGTCGGATCTGATGCCCGGTATGGACTGGGTGGTGGAGCGCGCGGATAAGCTCAAGCGACTGTTGCAGCATATTAACATAAATTAGTGCATTATCACAGATCGTATATATAGCGTATACTATACCTATTATTCAGTGCAGTTTTCTTTAAGCCACCCGGCAATGGCGAGTGGCCAAGGTTGGCGTTGCCGCCAAAAAATGATTTGCGTGTGTTATCCGCTGCCGCGGGCATACTTAGCCGCCGCCCACCCGGCGATGACTCTCGTGAAACGCTATACAGCTGTTTTTGCATGCTTCGCTCCATTCTTTGTCGTTAAATAAACCAATTCAATTTATAAACAAGAAACACATGTACACTGAACAAATTTCGCCGGCAATAAGCCATCGACAGTTGCGGTAAGTTAAAGTTTTAACAATCGGCCGTTCTTCTAAATTTATCGCGTATATCGATAGTATTACTCAATGTAACAACAACAATCGTCACAAAATGTCATTACTAATTTTAGCTGCCTCATGTAGGAAAAATGTACCAAAATGGTACATTATCAATGTATAAATTTTATTTGAAATGATACTGTTTTCTCATTTATTGAAATTTAATGTTATATATACGATTACTTACTTGCTATGCACACATTTGGAGAGAGAAATGTTAGCTCGTTAATATTATTAAGTGTAAATAATAAAATTTGATGATTGTTTTTATTATATGTATTTATTATTGTACATATAGTGTAAGTTTTAAAATTTGGTTGGATATACATATTTATTTAGGTTCTGTTATATCTTAAGCAGCAACCGTAATTCAAACCGCCGCTTTTGATATTTCAAAATGAACGAGAATCAGGCTCAATAGAACGACAAAAAGTGACTCAGTTCGTTCTTCTTAGTGAGTCGTTCCGGCGAAATTCAACAGAATGGTTTGCTGCAACTCTAAATTGCATATTAAATCGTAAACAATCCGCAGTTTGTTACTTTTTAATGGCCACCTGGACACAAAACGCACCGACAGGTGTCAGTAAACGGAGGCGCTGGAATCTTGAAGGTATTACTATGCACAGCAGGCTGTGAAAAGTTTTTGTAATGCAAAATGAATATGCTCCTGGTGCCTTTAGATCGCGCCTCGCTGAACAAACTGAAAGAACACATTGCCGAAGAGGGCTGCCCTCAGGTTCAATACGATCTGGGCAAGAAGCTGTTGGAGAATGCGATTGGTATGTACCCGTGAGCGCTGGGAAATGCCAATAACACGCTTTATATCTCCTCCACAGAACCCAACGTTGCCAATGAAAGCCAGAAGGCTGTACATTGGCTGGTCAGTGCTGCCCAACAGGGCCATGAGGAGGCAGTACGCTTGTTACGCAAATGTTACAATGCCGGAAATGGCATAACGGCCGAAAACGCGGATGAGGTGCGCCGCTGTCTGGCCATGACACCGGGCGAGCGTGCCGCCCGCAAAGCAGCCCGCGAGCTCTTCGCTTGCTTGTCCAATGGCAACGAACATATTACGCCCAAGCAGCTGGAGCGCAAAATGAGACGCATTTACAATTTGCAACGCAAGCGGCGTCGTCGTGGTGGTGACGACGCCTCCTCATCCAACACGGATGAAGACAGCAGCGAGTGCGAGCGGGAACCTTTAGAAGATGCCGCCACCATTGGCCGTGCAAATGTGGAGCGTCGTCGTTTTATAACCGAGGCGCATCTGGTCTCGGCTGCCTCTAACTATGCCGCCGGTCGTATGCCAGCCGTCAATGAGAATTTGACTCTGTCCGTGCCGCATCCGCAGAGCTTGGATCATGTGCCCTGTTTCTATCGCATGATCTTTCATCCGCTGGTGTTCTTTACGCTGCTATATCATCGTTTCATCAACCTGGTTGTCGCACTGCCCGCTATGCTGCCCCTGAGCGTGCGGTGCAGTCTGCTGGTGCTGCTCAGCTGGTGGACTACTGTGGAGGATAGCGAGCGCCATATGCTGCCCCTGATTAGCTACTACTTAAGTCTTGGCGTCATGCTGTGGGCCACGTGTCGCATGCTAAAAACAAAACAGCAATTCGTGGACTTCCGAATCTGGTCTGGACTGTTTCTCAGCTACGGCGATCACAACATTGAGGCGGAGATATCGGAGCAGCGCTTTTTGCGCAACAACATGAAACCGTATTTGTATTACTTCTGTGCATTCATTTGTAATCTGATTGTCTATCCGCTGGTAACAGACGCCTGGCTGCCGCACTCCGAGCTGACCATCATCTCGGGCGCCAGCACGTTCATCACTCTGGGCGTCTTTATGTACGCTTCGTCCCAACTGCTGCCCGATTGGCTGGTCATAGTTTCCTTTGCCGTTAATGTGCTGGCCAAGTATCCGTATGAGCTGGACGAGGTCGTATCCACACACTGGCGCTTCCTAGATCTCCGTGTACCCACATTCTCCTCCTTTGTGATTGGCAATGGCATTGAGTTTTGCTTGAATTGCCGCACTGCTCTTTATCTGCTGATACCCATTCTGCTTGTGTTGCTGGCCAAGCGTTCTGGCTGGCATGGCGTCTACACTTACTTAATCCCGCACTGCGTCACTCTCAGCTGGCTGCAGGTGTGCATTGTCACCTCCCAGAGTGCCACCGTCTTTGGTGCCATGCGTGCTGCTCTGGGCTTGGCAGGCATCGTCTTGTTCCTGCCCCTCTTTGGCGTTGTGGCGCTCCTGGTGCCCGTTTTCGTGGCAATCGACAGCCTGGGCTTGACCAGCGAGCATTTGCGCTGGGGCACCACGGCCATTGCCTGCGCCCTGGTAATTCTGCTCTCTTGTGTCCTCGCTCTCAATCGTGCCACGCAGAAATACATCACCATGTTGCAGGTAAGTAGTTTTCGCATTGAATTGCCAACAGTTGCTTCTATATGTTCCGCCTTTAGCTGCTAGTGGGCTTCACTACCGCCTGTGTGCTGGTCTTCCCTTATATGACGTCTAGCTTTAAGGATACTCCACGTTATAATGCTATGCCCACTGTGCTATCGAATCCAAATGTGGGCATGCATTCTCTGCCCGATGCACTTCAATGGGAACGCTTTTATGAGCTGTGCGCACAGCCAGTCCAGGAGCAGCCGAACAAAATCAAAGCCCAGCTGCGTTGCTCCCATCTTAATGGAATGTACGTGGCCTGGGAGGGCAGGATCACACACGTCCAAATTGCTCGCGTGTCTAATATGCTGGAGGATGTTGTTGCCAATTATCTGCCCACCTGGTTGGGCAAGTTGCTACGCTGTGTTCATGGCGAGAATATTGCACAGCATTTCCAATGTGAGCCCCAGCATGAGGCGCAGTGCGTCGAGTGGCAGCGCGTGATCAAGACGCTGAGTGCACAAACTGGACACTGCACGCTGCAACGTTGGAATCGCTACGAGTACGAGTTGCTCGTTCAGGTGGCGGCCAGCAGCAGCCTGCTGGGTCGTGGCTCATCATCGGACGTGGTGCTGCGCGCCCACCATGACTTTGGGAACTTTACGCAGCGACTGCATCGCGGCGATCGGGTCCTGTTTTATGGCACACTGCACAACTCCCGCGTGCTGGCGAACAACGTGCGTGAACACTATATATTGGGCTCCAGTACGCCGCCACAGGTGGAACTGAAGACTATTGAGTGCTTGGACTGCAAGTCGCCGGATTTGGGCACAGTGAGCATACAGCGGACATTGCTCGCCTCGCCGGTGGATGCACGCATGCAGGATTTGATGCGAGGCATCAAGTATTTGCTAAATGCCCTATTGAGTCCATTGATAACATTCAAATAGGCACCCAACCCAAGTAGATATACAAATATATTATAAATAAATTATATTTAATTGTTAAAAGCTTTGCTTTCGGCTTAAAATTATTATTCAATTAGAATAATGGGTGTCGCCTCTTGTACATTGGTTATGAGATCGCCGTATTTGTGCTGGGATGCCGACGAATCGTTGCTCTCCTGTAAGGCGGCGATGTGCTCATCCAATTCGTAAAGCTGGCCAAAATGCAAGTGTGGACAGGCGACGCAGGTAAAGTTGGCTTTTATGTTGACTGAGCACAAAGTCTCCTTGCTTTTCTTTGACTTTGACTTGCGTTCACGTTTTGCTCTGGCTAGAAAACCAAATTTATTTTTACCATGCCCATGCTGTGGCGTATTAAATGAACTATCTATTGCTTGCAAGTCAATTTTGCAGGTATCCAAGAAATCTTCGGCCAAATCTTGATCTGCGCTCGATACATGCAATTCGCATGGCTCTGGGCAAACGAAAAGATTGGGTGAATTAATGAGGAGCTGCACACCAGTTAGTAGTAGCTGGCGATGGGTTGGGTTATCTATTCCCAACATGATGAGATCGCTGGTTAATATTTGTTGGCACTGGGCAATGCTCATGTATCCATGCTCTGTAAAGCAACGAACATACTTTTCCATGGTCAGTAAAACCAACCACTCACGCACTTTTTTTGTACACATTTTTTGCCGATTTGGGATATTTAAAGGAAGCAAACTTTAACATCTGTCACGCGGCTCTCAAACAGAGGCGCGCAATTCAATTATGTTGAATATTTGCGATACTTACTCGATGTTAACTACTACAAATCAATTTTCGATAAATCGATAGGTAATAAACTAATAAAAAGAATCAGTTTCAGTGTTGGCAAACTCTGTTGCGCTTGCCAACCCCATTTCAAATAAATGTTCAGCAAAAAAAATAAATAAATAAAAAAGAACAAATAAAGTTGTTCCTGTGATATATTTGCAACGACAGATTTTTGCAAGCACCTAGCATTTCCAGTGTTGCCATAGTGCTGTTTATAGAAAACTTGATGGTCTTTATCACACTTCACTTACCATGCACAGAGAGTAGATTTTCCGAATGAATGCACTATGTAATTTTTAAGCGACGCCAAACATCAGTGTTGGCACGCATTTCAAGTAATTTTTGAGCTGAAAGTATGCTAAATTTTAATACAACTTACTAAATTATTGTCTTCAAGTAAGTTCAGTTCTTTTGAACTATTATGAAACGATAGTTTTTCAGGTAACTTCTGCATTTGAACGTAATCGATATAGCATTATATCGATGTTTCGTGCTGGCATCTCTAGTGCAAAGTGTATTTAAGTGCCGTTGCGCACGGCTGTCGAAGCAAAATAGCAACACAGACGGACGAGTGCGATTGTCAGCCTACCGAAGTAGTCGTCACTTATCAACAACGGGATTCGAAGCAGAAAAATTGTGAGCAGCAGAAATAGCAACAGCAACATGATACCAACAATAACGAGAAACTATCAGAATGTGGTCATTAGCACGGGCAACATCATCAACAACGAGCTGGGACAGCGCAAATCCAACGAGGAGCTATACGACGGCCTGAAAATCACGCTGCACAATGACCCAAAGTCGGAGAGCGTGGTGGTTGAGATCGACAAGCTGCATGGCCGCGTGCTCTGTGCCACACAGGAGCTGAACAGCAAACTGACAGAGAACGGACGCAATGAGATTAGCATCGGTGCAAAGATATTCCTCAACAAAAACTCCACGGAGTGCATCAATCAGGCAGTCGAGGCACTACTCAACATACTCAATGTGACGCATGTGGACAATGTGGTGCTGGCCTACCATCCCAATGTGTCAGCCGTTGCCAGCGCAACAACTGTGGCCACAACAGCAACATCTGCGTCGGTAAAGAGCCCCTGCTCCGAGGGCAACGACAGCAGCGTCAACGATGCAGCCAACAGCTGGAGTGCACGCAACGGCGCCCAGGGCATAGCCGAACTGAAGCTACTCTACAAGGCCCTCGAGCAGTATGCGGACAAGCAACAAATCAAACAGTTGGGTATTGCCGATCTCGATGCACCCGCACTGGCAGAGCTATACCAATCGGCCAAAGTTGCGCCCACCATAGCACAGGTGAGTCTGGCCGCTTGCTGCGTGGTGCCCGCCGAACTCCAGGAATTCTGTCGCGATCATGAGCTGGTGCTCAACACACACAGTGATCCCGAGCTGCTGCTGCCCGAGGAGCAGTTCTCTGGCCTAGCACCCGGCTACTCGATTGATTGGTCTCTGCGCTACCAGGTGCATGTGCGCTGTCGCGGCGTACTCACGGCCAAGGGCTACATTGTGGGCGCCTCTCAGCCGGGCGCCAATAATTGAGTTTAGCGGCATAGTTCAAAGCTAAGCTGAATTTTTAATATAGTATATATATATGTGTATGTATATGTATGTATACATGTAGTACTGTACTTATTGTTTGTTATACAAAACCCAAGATCGAGATGAGAACAGAAAAGTGAGAGCCATTCGACTGAGTGCGCGCTTCAAACGATTTGATTGTGAACAGTTTTGCTGATTTTTTTTCTCTTTGAATATAAACAGTTACTGAAACCACTAAATTACCGTTTTGTTTTTCATCTAACAATTATTTGTAACAATTTTTTTCTGGCCCAATACACAATCCCGCAGCGAGTGGTATTGGTAACCGGTTTGCGGGCTCGCAAAATCAAGTATAGAGGTATGTAATTGTAATACCATATAAACATATACTGTGTGTAAATATACATAGATGTATCCGCTGAAATAGCAAACAGTCGTTATCGTTAATCGTTATCGTAATCACTGAGAGACAGCGCCGCGTAATGCGAGGTGTTGGGTACATCGCTTCATTTGACCCTTTCCGCATCTGACTCTTGTCTGGGTTTATGTCTGGCCTTAGGCCCCGCACAAATCACGTGGCTGCGCTGCTTGCCGTTATTTTTTATTTATAAACACCTATGTAATCGGCCGTCGGGATTAGAACTGCCGTAAAGGTATTTTAAATATATTGCCGCTGAGATGCTATCAGATAGGAAGTCGCACAAGTGCCACCGGGCGACACTTCAAGTGCCACAAGAGTAAAAAAAATATAAAAATAAACAATGGCAAAAACTTATAATAATAACTTTAACAATATATTGGAATCCTAATCAGTAAGCACTTGAACTTTATAGCCGTTATATACAGTGCCAACTCGAGTGTAGCGCACATTTTCAGTCGTTCTGGCTGCCCAATAGACAGCGGCCTTGCCGCTAACTATGTATGGAAATCTACATACTATGTATGTTATGTATGCATACAAATATGTATGTATATGAGTTTCTAATTAAGCAGTGTCGTCATCGGTCCAATGCACCAAAGGCTTGCCCAGGCATAGTGTGTCCACTTTTGTGGTGAAATTAAATAAATTATTATCCAGACAAACACACATAAACAAATGAATAGTATGTACATATGTGTGCATATAGAATGCTGCATGCATACATTTGTATACATACAAACATACATGCATACATATTTGTAATAAAAATCCCACGACAACAACAACAGCAAATGCCTAAGAACAAAACAAAAATCGAAAAATTGTTGCTGCCGCTGCCCACAGCGACTGCGAAGTCTTCGTGACTTGCGTTTCTAGCCCTAAAGTGTAAGCGAGCTAGCTATATAGCGTGTGAGTGAGTCAGGCGAGTATTTAGCTAGCGATCTTCGTGCGTGTGTGCGTGCGGGCGTGTGTGTGTGGGCGTTGTGGGGTTCCAGGCGCAGGGCCTGGAAAGCGTTTCGGCTAATTTCGTCACGGGCGTGCGACAAGTGATGCACGATGACAAGTGATAAAGTTCTCAGGGAAATTATCAGATAGAACGACTTACGCGAATATTGGCTGCAACACGTTTCCACATAAATCAGCTAAATTGTGATATAATGGAACCGCCTGGAAGGTAATCAGTTCGTACGACTATAGTAGAAAATGTTGAGATTTTAAAGCGAATTTTATTTGAAATCAACTTTAGCAAATGACGACGACTCACTGACCGTATACTTAATATGCCCGTACTAATGCAATCATTGCAAACAAAATATATTTAACTTATGCATGACTTGACAAATATAAGTCACATGTGCATTTGCGGTGTAATTATAAGACGGATAAATGACTAACTAACTATGCTTATCTTGAAAGTTAGCTAATTCTCAGCCCGTCTCAATTTTACAGTTGCATTTAAAAATAGAATACCGTTCAGTGAATGATCAATCGAACAGGTTCCAATTGGACAATGAACTGTAGCTGTCATCGAACCAGTTTTTTTACTTTTAAAATAGTATTTTTTTTTTGAAAATAATGTAATTTAAATTTGTAAGTGTATGAATAAATTGGCCCCCACTAACGCTGTCAATAGTTGGTTTCAGGCATGTGAAAAATATGGTTCACGAACAGAGCCCCAGGGCGATGCATTGTTCCGAACCGTGAACCGAACTAGCACCCATTTGTTTCTTCGGGATTCCAGCCGCAATACAGATGAATGTACACTTGAAATGACACCATAACATTTGTTAAGTCTTTATTTAAATTAATTGAATAGGTAATCTTCATCATGTTGTTCTTCTGTACTCACATTTCGTTAGCGATCTTTAATATATCTCTCAAGTAAATCATCTTTATGTTTCCTTAGTACAGTTTTTAAATATTATTTATAATGGCTGTTTCATCATTCTAATTGTACATAGTTAACAGACACCAAAAATACACACGGAATCTTAAAGAATTTTTTTTTTCTTTTTAGTAGAATAACATGCATTTCACTTATGGAGTTACATTTGATAAGAACTTTTGCCAGCTTATCCATTTGCACTATGCGCCTTTTGAAGTCTAAATTTCATTTCAGCTATTCTAATAAACATTTATCATACATTGTAATGATGTACTGTGTGTGTGTATGTATATATATATGTATGTGTGCCATAGAGTATACTTGTATTCGACCTTTAACACCTTAGTTAATAAGTTACAATTAGATTGCGTCATAAACTATATTTCTCATCATATTGCGAATGGAAAATTAATAATAATACTTTGTAAACGATCTCTTTGGGGAACGGACGGCGGTTATTTTGTTTTCTTTTTGACAATTTGTTCAATTCTTTGCACTAAATAACAAATACAACTAATTAAACTAACACAATTCAATGCGAATGAATTCGTTGTTTTAGATAATTTATGTCTGATCCGAACTGAGCTTTGTTTTTGGGGTTCGGGATTGGGATCGTGGCTTAAGCTAGGTTCGTTGCTGTTCCTCGTGCCTTGGGATTGGTTAATCGAGGATAAAAAACTTTATCAAAAAATGTTGAATAAATATTTACAAAAAATTTGTACACAATACATTTGCTGTGTTGGTCGATCGTAGTCTCATCTTAAATGATTCATAATTTAATATAATGGACTCTTGGTTTATAATAAATTCTCTTAAGTTTTGCCATCTGTTGTTTGTTTGTTTTATGGTACGGAAGTCCTCAAGCTACAACATTTTGAATAGGGTAGGGTAGAAACTTGAAGAGATTTAGCTTACAGTAAACACATAGATCTGAAGAACATTCAGCTAATTTACACATACACATATAGAATTACGGAGTGTAACTATGCGTATAACTATAGTTATAGACATTTAACACTTTGCATATTTAGATAGCGCACTTATTTGAAATTCACACAAAGTACTTTATCTGTCAAATGGAATGCTTACTGTAGTTGCGTAATGCTGATTCGGCCGTATAGTTAGGGGGCATGCAGAACTTACTAGTACAAGAACCGAGTACTTAGCTAAACACAAAACATTTCTGGACTAGTTGCAAACAACTTGAAGCAGCACACCCGTTTTTACAGGGCATTTCGCGCCATAAACTACATGTAATAAATACAACAATGTAATTTCAAGATCTGTGTTTTGTTCAGTTGCTTTTCATTTTTCTTTTTGTTTTTGTTACATATCTTCAACATTTAGTTAATGCCAATATATTTTTAAAAAATATTTCGCATTCTATATGCCAGCTTTACAATCTAAAAACTATGCTTAAATATTTTGTATAATCCGATTGGAATTGTTAATTGTAATTATAGAGAACACATACAATACACATACATCAAGAGAGTTTTCACTTAAAATGCATTTACATACATTTATACATATATATATACTGACATTTAAATATAATTTTTAAATTAATTTTCTTGTTCGTTTCAACATTCAGATTTGTTATATTCAAAAATGCGTGCGCCTAAAAAATTGCCACAAAAATACAATCAAAACATTTTGTTTGCTTAACTACAAAAATACATATATAATATAGTATATGTTACAATAAAATACATATAATTATGTAAAACATAGATATATATATATATAATCTACATGCATTATAATATTGGTGTAATTTGTTGCACTTACGCTTAAACCAGCTTCTAAAACAACTAACAACAATTAATTTATGTGCCGTATATACATATGTATGTATGCGCATGGTGTGTGTTTTTGTGTCTGTGTGTATAAAACTATTTAAAATATAATACCATTTCATTACAATTTCATATATAACATCATCTTTTGTCCTCCTCTAACATACATATGTAAGTAATTCAGTCTAATTTGGGAATTTGGTCGTCAAACTTGGCTGGGCACAGTGGAGCTCCCCCCCAAAAAGCAAAAACCAAATTAAGAAGCCAACAATAATAATTAAGTGTGTGTGTGTGTGTGTGTGTGTAGGGTACATTTTTGATTGCTAGAATATTTCACAGCTATCAGGGCTGCACGTTCCAGTTCACAGCTTTTCGGTTCGTTTCGTTAACCTGGTTTTCTACAGCGAGGAACTTTTGTAAAGGTTCAAACTCTAGCTTCCAAAATTCTTTGCAACTTTTTGAAGAGAAACATATCTTTTGGGATGTGGGGAAATGGGCAGTGGAATATCTATTGGCAAATATTTATGAATTGTGTTTATTTCTCAAGTTCAGAAGTTTTAGAATCGATATTTGCTCGTTCTTAAACAAATTATGTAAGCAAAAGGATGTATTTTTAAAGGTTGTGCTTCAGAATGATGAACGCATAAAACATAATATTTAAAAATCACGTCTGCCAAAGAACCAAGAACATTTTTAGAATCAAAAAATTAAAGAATCAATGATTAAGATTAAAATGAAATAACCCAGATAAGGAGGGAGAATAGAGAAGCGCATGATAAATGCATAGATTTGTATCGGAAAATAACAAATTTGTGCATAGAACTTAATTCTCGATTGATCATGCCTGTGGCAGCTATAAAATATGGTGTTTTGATTCCTTTAAAGAGCGAGGACGGTTTGCATGTAAACAAGCAGATGGACAGAAGGATTTGGCTATATCGACATGACTGTTAATATTGTTTAGGAATATATATTCAGGAAATGTCTTTTTCTATTCGTTAGACATCGGCATGAAGCGTAATTCGATTTGCTTTCGTTTGTTCCTCTTGCTGCTTATAAAAAACCAAATTGTAAACCCGAGTTGAGACTTCGTTAGCCGCCCTGCTAGCTGTGCACTCCAGCATAATTGAGCTGTTTCAGCAGCTCTTAAATCAAATGGGATTTGCGATTGGAATGCTCGATGGCCGCCAGCAGCTCGTGCTTCTGCCGCACATAGAGGCGGCCCTTCTTCCAGGGACTCTGCAGCTGGAGCGGCTTGAAGTCGTCGCGCAGACAACGCTCCCGGGCACCAATGACGGCGACGAGGCAAAAGTTGTCCAGCATGTCGGCGCTATAGATGGGTCCCTTGCTGCCCTTCAGCACGGCGGCCATGTTAAGCTGTTTGACGACCAGGTTGATGACCTCGCGGGCGGTTGTCTTGGGCGTCACGTGCAGCTTGAGACTGGTGCCGCTGGCCAGGCCCGTGTTGTAGGCGGTGTAGACCTGAATGATGCCTGCGCCTGTCGAGCTCTGCTCGGCATTGAGGCTAGAACAGCTGGCCGTGTCCTCCTCGCTGCTGTGTTGCGCCAGGCTCTTGGTGGAGGAGGCCTTCGAGGTGCTGGCCACGGGCTCTTCGCTACTGCCCAGTGGCCTCAGCTCCGGCTGCAGTGCCGACAGTGAGCTCTTCAAATAAAGTCCGCCCTCGCGCAAATTGGCGCTGGAGGCAGCCTTCACCCTGTACTCCGCGGCAGGCTTCAGCGGCTTGTGCTCCAGATCCGTGGCGAAGGCACCACTGCCCGTGCGCAACGAGACACTGGAGCCGGCCAGATAAGGAGCCGAGCTGGAGCTGTGCACGGTGATAAGCGGCGTGGAAATGGGCCCAATGTTGGAGCTGGTGCGTTTGCGCTGCGCGGCGGCTGCTGCCTGCGAATGACGCAGTGCATCCGCCAGTGTGTCATCGGAACGGGAGGGCGGCAGCGCAAAAACGCTGCTGCTGCCATCGGAGGCGGAGTCCACAGCGGAGTAAAAGCTGCGCGCAGTGTATGCGGAGCTCACGGAGTCGCCGCTGTTCTTGCGCAGCGAGACATCCGAGCAAGTGGAGGCGGCGTACTCATTGCTCGTCACCTGGAGCAGCTGCTGCTGTGGTTGTTGTTGCTGCTGCTGCGGCTGCTTGTCACGTTCGTCTTGAAGGGTGGCCTGCGCTGACGGCGTTTGGGCGCTCTGACCCAAATTCGTTTCAGATTTGGAGTGTTCCGGCTTGTTCTGCCTGTTAGAATCCTCATTGGAACCCGGACCCGGCCAGCTGCCGCGACCTGTCTTGCTGAACCTGGTCTCGCGCAGCGGTAGCTGCAGCAGCTGCTTGCCGTCGCCTTCCTCGTGTCGTAGCTGGGCAAAGTCGAGTATTTCGCGCATGGCCAGCGCCGGCTGGGCATGCTTATTGCGCGCATAGGCCACCACATCCATCAGCCAGCGAACGCTCTTCCACACCATCGTCAGATTGGTGCTCAGCTCCTGCAATGTGGCCAGACGCTCCTTGGCAGCTTGAAGTTCGCTGCTAGAAAAGGCCTCGCGATGCGAGTGCGTGGCCAGCGCCGTGTCCAGTTCCAGGATGCAGGAGAGTCGTGCATATTTCTGCACAATGGCCGGCTGATAGGTGCGCAGATGGATCATCTCGAAGGCCTGTATGCTCAGGCTGACCAGATCGTCGCGCTGCAGCAGCAGCTCGGACTGGCCGGGCACGGCACATGATGACTCCACCGAAGGGCAAACAATTAGAAAGCTAATATCGCGACTATGCTCTATGACCTCCACATCGTAGAGGCGATGCGTGGCCGCATCCGTTGCCTTAATGCTCATGCTGGCCAACAGCTTGTGCATCGCATTGCTGAGATCGTGTAGGAAAAGACGCTGTACCTCGGTTGCCGGACTGTTGCCATTGCCATCGCCTGGTGTACTGAAGTCGAGCGGCAGGCGCAGCGGATTGTTTTCGGTGCGATGCAGCACCTGCCACTCCTCGGCCGTAATGTGGCTGTTTTCGCGCACCTTACAGTGGGGAAGCACATTGGGTGTCTTCACCGGCACGACCACCTGTATCTGATCCATGGAGCACTGCATCTTCAGATAGCCCAAATAGAGACCCGGCTCTAGACGCTGGAGCGCTGCCTGCTGATAGTGCAGCTGTTCGCCAATGCTCGAGATGAGCAGCTCGTTGATGGTGTAATCCTCGTGCAGGGCACCCAGCTTCTTTTGGAGCTTGCTGACCGGCAGCCAGCGTGAGTTGATGATGGAGACAGCCTTCTGGCTCTTCACCGACTGAATGCAGGTGAGCACCACGGTGCCCTGTGCATCTCGGAGTGGTTTATAATACAGCTGGCCAAGATCGTTGATGCCCAGCGCCGACTGCATCTGGCAGACGGCCGAAAGAAGTTTGGTGCGAAAGTGTACCGGCGAGGTTAGATTCCGTTCCATGTCCGTGCGCAACGATTTCACATCTTCCCAAGTGCAGGCGACCTTCATTAGCCAATAGTAGTCCATGTGCAATGCACTCGGATATGATTCATCGATCTCAATGACAGGCGGAAAGTCCTCGCTGGTGACCAGCACCTTGTCATCGCAGTGCACAATGCACGAGAAGTAGATGCCGCTGTATAGACCATGGAATACACAAAAGGATTAATTCCTAAGCAGAATATGCATCTCTCTATTTAGTCTTACCGTCGCAGCGTCTTCTGGAACTTGGAGGTGACTGAGAAAAGCTGCTTGATGGTCGTCTTTTTCTTCGGATTGCGACGCTGCACGCTGCACGGATCGAGCGTTAGCTCTGAAACATCTGCGGGTCGAGCCGAACGTACGGCCGTAAACAGATTGTCCAATATGCATTGGCGGCCATAGAAACGATCCTCCCGATTATCCAAGTCACGCCAGGCTGTAGAGAAAGCAGAGGATAAGTCAAGAAATCCATAAAGTCTAGCCTTAACAGCAGCCATTACTATTACTGTGAATGGGTCAAAGGCTGCCCCTCCACGGCTACTCACTTGAGGGCACAACGCTGGCGGGCACCGAGTTGCGATAGGCGCCCCAACCCTTGACATTGCCGCAGGCGGCGCGCAGGAAGTAGCGGCGGCCCTGGGTGAGGCCAGCTATGTGACACTGGGCGCCCATGGTGCCATGGAAACTAATCCACTCGAGCAGTTCCCGCTCGCCCACTACATTGTTGAAGTCGGCGCGTGTTGACCATTGAACTGCGGTAAATGGAGAAATGTCAACAACAAATCAAATTTCTGGCGACCGCAGAGCTGCGGCTGACCGCAGCACTGGGTTGGGTGGCTTTACCTTTGAATTTGGTGCCGATGGCGCCCTCAAAGGGTTCGAGTATTTGCAAGCTAATGGAATTGTCGCCGGTTACATCGACTACAACGGAGGCGGGTGCATCTGGTGGTCGCGCCTGGTCCCAGCCAAGAAGCATGCGTCGCAGCCCCTTGACGCGTCGCTCCCAAATGCCAATCTGTTTGTCCACCTCGTTGCCCGTGCAGCCGGTAACCGAGGAGCCCGTATTGCCTGGAATCCAAATGGAAACTTATAAGGAATGTGTCTTTGATTGGCATTGCGGAGCTCACTCACCAATTATAATGCTGGATATGGAGGGTCTCGATGTAAAGACGGGCGCACACAGTCCCTCCGGTCCGCTGAGATCGTGTATGCGTGACTCGGCGTCCTTGAGCAGGCCGTTCAGTTTGGTGCCAATGCTGTCCACGGAAACTGCAAATGGGCAATGGATTGAAAGTTAGTTAAAACATCCTTGAACGGGTCGCCAAATCATATATGTACATTGAGTACCCTCCAGGGCGCCATGCTGCAGCAGCATTTTGGTCATGGAGCGATTGTTGCTCAGCACGGCCACATCCAGCGCTGAGAGTCCATCCGTATTGATGCTGTGGATTAGTGAAAACATGTGTAAATACTGAATAAAAAAGAATCTTATATTTAAAATAAATTCAAGCTCAAGTACAAAGCTTCTTCCTTTATCCCAAATAGACTGCCCTCTCTCTTCCTGGAAGATCAGAGGTTTTGTAGTGAAATGGATGGAAGATTTGTTTATCTCAGATTCTATATAAGATAGAGAAACCAGTTTGATATGTGGGATGAAGAATGCGTCAGCTTACCTAGGCTTAATGTATTGGTAAGTCTAGATAGATTAGTCCCTATTCTTTTTTCTTCACTTTTTCTTTTTGAGACCGCTTGGGAATCTTACACCCCCCTCTTCACCCCATTTACCTGCTCACTCGCACTTACCTATTGACATCCACGTCGGTGGATTCGAGTATGGTGCGAGCCTTATCCAGATGTCCGTGCTCCACGGCGGAGAAGAGAGCTGTGGATAAAGAACAAAGAAGAGCCGATTATAATCATCAATTTAAATAGACAAGTGATTGGATTTAGAAATTTAGACATTGGCGAACAGAAAGCAGCGCGAACCCGTGTGCCTACCGTGCAAGTGGAGATTGCTTTGGGTCAGCTTGTCCAGCTGTGCCTGGGCAAGCTTTAGCTGTTTTTTGGACATTTTGCTGACACGCGGATGCGGCGTATTGCCCGGGATTTTGTTGCGCAGCTGCACCGGCAGCCGATGCACCGAAAGCTGATGCTGCTGTTGCACATTGGCCGCGATGTTCTCATCGGTGGCTGAAAGTTGCTCGTGCTCGTGCTCGGGCATCTGATCCTCGTGCTCGTCGCGCAGCTTGGCATTTTTGGGCTGGGAATGGCGCGAGATGCGTAGCTGTGGGCCGGCCGGCGCCTGCTGCTGGTGCTGCTGTTGCTGCTGCTGTGGCAACAGGAATTCCATTTCGCGCAGATCCTGGGCGTGGCATGAAATGGCAGTGCGCAGCTTGGCGACAGCCGCGTGCTGGGTAAGCTGTTCCGACCAGCGAAAGGCGCTGCTTGGCGGCGACAGCAACGCAGCGGTATAATAGGTGGGATAGTTGTCCTGATTGTTGTTATCCTGACAGTCAAACGACTCCGGCTGATGCTTAACGCGCAGTTTGACAGGCTCAAAGAGCTCGCTCTCACACGAACTGGGCAAAATGTTGTCTGTTTGTGGGTGGGGAGTTGGCGGGTGTTGGATTTGGAATAGAAATCATAAGTTGTAATTAAACAAAAAATGCAATTAATAAAACTTAATATTAAATGAAATGTTTAACATAAATTATGCATACATAGATGCTATATACAAATGTAAATAAACCAGCTAGAGCCCGATGTAAACGAAAGATGTGTATATATAAATATGGGATATGCTCGTTAATTGCCAGCAATTGCAATTAATTAATTAATTATTAATTACTAATGGGTCCCGTCGGACGCTTCTGTTTTGTTTGTTTTTGTTTTTGTTTCTGTTGAATGACCAATATCCAATTTGATTAATTACGAACAACAATGCAGCACTGCGTGTGTGTATGTGAGTGTGTTACATGTGTATATGTATATGTAAGTGTATGTGTAGGTGTGTGTTATGGCATGCACTAAAGCAGCGCTAGATTAGATCGCAGTGGCAGAATAGCATAGCAAAACCCACCCAAGCAAACCACCAATAACCACCCAACCAACCACCTAGCCACAACTTTTAATTATGCAGTGTCCCAAAGTTAAAATGCAATTTAGTCCGGAATGAACTGTGTACTTTTCTGCTTCAATTCACAGCCCTAATGCCGAAAGCTATAAAAAGTTATTTAATGGCAAATATCTGATATTTTCATAAAACAAACTATATTTAAGAAAATTGCTCAATTTAAAATATATTTTGACTATAAGAGAAAAAAACATAACAAAAAAAATAATTATTTGAATAGAACTTTAATAATTCAAGAATCATTTTCAATTTTGTTTGTGAATAATGCATAGCTTGAGCTTATTGAGAATAAAGTTTAATTTTGTTTTTTTTTAAAATAACTTTTTATAATGTTGAAATCAAATTGATATTAAAACTTTAAAAGTTACTCAAAATATTTTAATAACAAAATTTGGTGTTATTGAAACACGAAAGTTTTAACTTGTCAATGTTTTTTTTTTCTTTTTTTGAAAAGAGGTTTAGTTAACAAAAATAAAATTTTAATTAAAACTTTAACTTTTTGTCAACATTTTCAAACAAAAATTTTCATTTAATGCATTTTTAGCTTTAACCTTTTAGGTTATTTCAGTGCAAAGTATTGTAGAAAAAAATTTATAATATTTTTTCAGCAGAAATTTTATTAAAATTTAAGTTTTAATTATTATTTTTTTTTTATGTTTCTTGATGTCCAAGATTTTATATTTGTTTTTATTAAAAACCTATTCAATAAAATTATTGAGTTTATTTTTTCGGTTAAGTGCGCGTTAAACTGAATCAGAAAAGTATGCGGCTGCGGCTATGCTGTTGCATAGTGTTATTGCCACTGTAACCCCGCTGAGCCTCAACCCACAACCCGCACCTCAAGCTGACCCATTAATTAGCTGTGCGCGTTTTGGCGGCCAGTCTCAATTGAGCCACATGTGGGTGGTTGAGTGGTGCGCTGGGCTACCCGCTTACCATCATTGGCATAATGACCGCGCAGCTGCAGTGTGGACGTTGACGTTGCCGTCGCTGTCGCCGTTGCCGTCGCCGTCGCTGCTGGCGTCTTCAGCTGGCAGAATTTTGAGAGCTCGTTGAGCGTGTGAAATGATTTTTGTCGTATAAAGTGCGCCGGGGAGCGCAGACAGCTGCCCATCTGCAGCTTCTGCGGGGCGTGGCTATTGTCGTTGTTGCTCTGGTGGCATCTGCAACATCAGACAGCACGTGCGAATAATTTCAATTTATGTAGCATGCCCCAAAAAAAAAAACAAACAAAAATCTCACAAGCACTTGTGTTTAATTATGAAATTGTAATGAAATTCTTGCCGCTTTGGCCATTTGCTCATTTGGACACTGTCCTTGGCCGCAGCTGGCCTTAATGGCATTGAGTAACCCATCGGAAAAGCCCAAGATATGATATATGGACATAATCAATATTCAATTCAATCGGTTGAGTTATTTGAGGCTTGATTATTAAATGGAATTTGGTAACAATTCAAGGATTATGCAATGGAAACTACTAAATGGTAATTAAATAATTGTTTTGAGTTTCTAAGCTGACAGCTTTTTTGCCTTTTATTGACTTTACGTTTCTATATCTGGTGTGAGTTGGACAAGTTTCTCTGAAATGTAGTTTTATTCTTGTCGTGACACAAATTCCTAAGCATCTAAATATTTTTTGGTAACTAGCTTCAATCAATCTCCTTATGTTAGACTACCTCTCCAAAATAATTATGGGCCATATGCATTGACACGAAACAATTTGTAAATCTAGAATATAACAAGCCGAGAAATTATGAAACAGAAGAAATAACTTTTGCGAACTTTTATTCATATTCATGAATAAAATTCATTCAAAATAACGATTCTTTACTATTTCAGTTCAGTTTTTAGCGCCTTCTGATGCCAGACAACCCTTAAGAGTCCTTTCAAGCAATTTCAAAACAGTTCAACAGACTGCTTGCCAGCTGTGGCAAAGAGTTCAATGAACCCATTTTAGGGTATATGAAACGCAATCAAAGTCACAAACAGATTACCATTGAATTTCTGTTGAGCGCAATAAATAGGGTAATCAAAAAAACATGCTTGTCCGGGAGAAAAAAACACATAAACACAACTGGGCGTTCCACTTATAAAATCATTACGAATGTCATGGCTTTTAGTTTATGGTTTGCTAGCAGTTTTATATTTCAGATATATATCTATATATATCCGAAATAGTTTAAGGTGAGACAAAAATAACCACATATATTCTTTTATAATTGAGCTTTCAAAATGACCTCAAAGTCAATAAAACGACTTTCACTTATGCAACGTTTGAGTTCAATTTTTTATCTGTGTTGCGAAAAAGGTGAAGCACGCCAGTTTTCCACCAATTTTTCACTCTAGCCGGTGGAACTTTACAAAACCGAATCGAACATAACATACCAAAAGATAACAGTAAGAATGTCAGCTGCCTAGCTCTCAATGTTTGAGCTGTACGTAGATTACCAATCTGTCAATCTGTCAGTCAGTCAGTCAATCAGTTAGTCAGCCAGTCAATCAATCAGTCAGTTTATATAATAGCTGAGTACTCATATATGGATCAAAAATAAACACCTACGACTGTTTAAATAGGGCATCGGTTTCCTGATGGTGGCCGTTCGCATGCGTGTCGTTCCATAGATGCCCTGTGGGGCGTGGCGCTTGATCTCAGCCAGAACGGGATCACAGCTGGCCTTTGGCGACTCGCTGCCCAGGCGACTGCGCTCCAGATCCGAGTCGAGTGTGGCTTGTGGTGCAATGCGATGACAGTAGCTTTCGGGTATTTGCAGCAGCTGGCAGGCTTTGCGTGGCAGTGCCACGCCCACGGGCAGCGTAGACATCAGCTGCTCAATGCCCAGTTCCAGTTGCTGCTGCTGCCCCTTGCCCTCGCCGTGCTGCTGTTGCATTGTCTGCTTCTGCTGGAGCGGCACAAACTCGCCCTTCACTTTGCTGGTAACCACGGCAACCTTTTCAATTTCATGCCACAAACGCAACGCGTTCACGGCCTTGGATTTGTCCAGCGTCCGGCTGCTGCGACTGCGCGAATGCAAATGCGGACGCAACTTAAAAGGCGACTGCAGCGGCAGGGCGGGGCTGTGCAGCTTGCTCTTGAGGCGCCGCAACGAGGCGCGCACCGAGTGCGAGCGGTGCAAAGCCGGCAGCTCGTCCTTCTCTTCCTGTTCTCTGTTGTTATCCTGCTGCTGCTCCTTGAGCTTGGCATAGGAACTTAACGCACGGCGTCGCTCCATTTGGTGTTATCTTCCGTATTGTTTATCTTTTTTCTACTTCTATATTTCCTTATAATTTTTCATATTTTAAGTGCTCGCGAAGGACACGCTTTTTTCGGTTTTTTTTTATTCCGTTTATTGCAGGATTTTCCGTAGTGCGCGTCGCGTTTACAAAATGAGAACTGAGGCAGCATTCCGAAGTGATTTCAATCCCAACCACGCGTAGGACTCGCTCTCTCTACAATTCGCTCTCTATCCTCTTAGTCCCCTCTCTCTCGTCTCTCTCTATCTCTCTTTCGCATCAGGCATAGCACTTACGTAGCGTGCTGTACACGATATTCGGCTTGATGCATGAGGGTTACAAATAAGGTTAGGTTAGGTAGCTCAGCATACTCTCTCCCTCGCTCTATCCTTCTCCCTGTCATGCGCTCTCTCTCTTTTCCTCTTTAACCCTCACACGACTTATTCAGGAAATATCATTCAGGCAATTGATCGCCGCAGTATACTCACTTTTACTCAGTTTTAGCTTCTATATTTAAATTTAACCTATAAAGAACCTTTTACTTTGAAATGCCGAATATTCAATACCCTTGCAAAAACATAGAATGAATCAAGTCAATTGTAGGAATACTTGGCTATATAAGTACACTCGATTTTATATAGATACTTTATGGAGATGTCCGCTTCTATGCGTTACACATTTCATAACAAAATTATAATACTTTCGGCTAGGGTATACACAATTTAGACCAGGCCAGGTAATTATACCTGCGTTCACTCTTTGAGAAGAAATTCCTGTTTTGCAGAGTTTCTGCCTGTGCTTGTATGTTTCTCTATCTTTATCCGTGCAGCAAATGTGTTCAACAATTCAAGGCGGCATTTCTGAAATCGTAAACCAAACAAATCAGTTGCCCCTCCCCACCCGCCGCCTGCCGGCC